TGTTTATTTGTGCAACATTTGGTTTACGTAAAAATAGTTTTAGAAGTAATAATTTCTCAGATTTTATTCTCAATTTCGTTATATTGCGTAACGTTACGAAACTGAGAAATTGTTAAGCTTAGTTCACATAAGCAATTATGTATGTAATTATTTACTACTACATAAATAACGTTTAATATGTCGTCATAATACGTCGTTGTGGTATTTACTCTTTTCTAGCAGTTTTTTTCTTTAATGCAAATAAAACAACGAAGTTAATAAAATCAATTTAATTAATAAATAAGTAAAACTAGTCTAATTTGTATTTATTTCGACAAAAGTTGTATTTTTCAAAAAAAAAAGAAAGAAGATTATGATAGAAAAATTAAAGGAAGAAAGAAGACTATGATAGAAAAAAAGTATTGAAACGGAGGTAAAAAGAACATCTAATGTTCAGGATATTCAGAAACAAAAATTCATTTCTGAGAGGGTTTTAGGGCAAGAAAGTTTCTGCTACGCTGCCCCAGTGCGTGTTGGCGAACTTCACGTCTTCGAAATATTTTTTCCTACCCATGATAATATATATTTATTTAAAAATAATAATCATAATTATGCGAGTGACAATGACTCACATTTTGATATCTTTTAATAAATTATTAGACTTCGTTTTGATCTCGTGAATATTCCTCCGACATCATGTTTTTTTATACTGAGGTATTACTGTGTGAAAAAATTATTATTTTTTAACATTCCATTTATTCCTAGTTTTTTATCTAATTCACCGGTGTTAACTTTTTAGAAAATTATAATTTTGGTTAGTCTAAAAAATCAAAGTCAATTAATACAAATAGGACTAATTAAACCAAACAAGTTTTATAATTCATCTATAATATAATAATATATCAATCTATAATTTGTACTTAGTTTAATGTGTACTATACCTTATGAGATTAGTTTCGTTACGAATATTCTCAGTATCGTTATATATCAGTTTAGTTACAAAATTAAAATGTACACTTTTTTCTGAGTATGACCCATAATCTTTTGTGCTCGTTGTAAGTTAAGTTAACTTAATTAACTTAACTTCACAATGACAGAGCAGTTTGCTCTGCCAAAGTCTCACGGTCGTATCAAAACTAAGGGTTTATCGCTTGTATCCTTTAATATTCGCGGTTTGCGAAATAACCTCCCAGATCTTAAGCTCTTTCTTCGGAATCGTGAAACCGATTTCCTCCTCCTACAGGAAACTAATCTCAAAACTAAGGACACTAAAGGCCTTTCTATTAAAAACATCTCTCTTCTTCGTAATGACAGACCTGACCGCCGAGGCGGCGGAACGGCCATCTATTACAGGAAGACACTTCACTGCTCGCCCATTTCTACTCCGCATCTTACCAACAAGGAAGCCACGGTATGCAGGCTAGCTATGACTGAACATCAGTCCATCCTCATAGCCTTCTGTTGCATCCCTTCAGGAACCCATCCCCTCGAAAAAGCCTCTTTTGAGGCTATCTTATCTTTAGGCAATTCAGTCATTATGTTTGGAGATTTTAAATCCAAGCATACTGAATGGACATGCCCTACTACCTCCCATAGTGGCAAGATACTGCTCGATATCACGCATTCTCTTGATATTACCGTCCATAGTCCCCTCGGTGATACTCACTTTCCCGATAACACCGATCACGCCCCCCGATGTACTAGATTTTGCGTTACTCCAAGGAGTTTCCCTCAACCTCAGGGCAATCGAGACACTAGACGATCTAGGATCCGATCACCGACCGGTCTCCCTCATTCTTGGCCATCAGCCGCCTCCCCCAACACACACCAAAACCTTCACTAATTGGAAGGGATTCAAGGAGTCTCTAGCTAAAACTCTGGACTCACAGGACTCTACCATCTCCCTACCGTCGGACTTAGACAGTCCCGATAAAATCGACACCGCGGTCGATTCAATCTCCACCCTTATTAAATCCTCCCTTAAGGAGAACGAAAGGGTCGTCCCGGTTGCTAACAATAGTGGGCTTCCCCTACATATTAGCAACCTATTAAAAGCCAAGAAAGCTGCTTTCCGGAGAGCAGCAAAATATCCCACCCCCGAATATAGGCGCACGGCCAGTCGTCTTCAACGAGAACTCCGTTTCCGCCTCTCTGAATTTCGAGACCTCGAAAAGAGTAAACTCATGGAGAATATCTCTCCATCTCATACAGCGTACTATCAGATGGCTAGAGCCCTCCTCATAGACGCTATCACCCACACTTCCCCTCTCTCCCGTCCTGACGGTACGGTTGCCTTCGATGATGAGGAAAAGGCTGAGTGCTTTGCAGATAGCATTGCCGCACAATGCTCTCCTAGCTCTCAACCCGTCGACCCCTCACACGTCCAGGCAGTGGAGGATGAGGTCCGCCGCCGGAACTCACCCCCTACAGCCTCCGAACCTATCTCTGTGTCCAATGATGAAATTTGATCCCTCATCAAAGGACTTAAGCCCAAAAAGGCTCCGGGCGCGGATGGCATCTCCAACCAAGCCCTAAAACACTTTCCTGAGCAGGTGTTAACCTTTTTATCTATTATCTTCAAACTTAGTTACTTTCCCACTACGTGGAAAGAGGCAACTGTGATTGGTATTCCCAAGCTAGGCAAGCCTCTCAACCTCCCCTCCAGTCATCGCCCCATTAGCCTCCTCAAGGCAATGGGCAAGCTCTTCGAAAGAGTCATCCAAACTCGTATGAGGCGCTATCTGTTTCCCACAGACGGTGACCCTCTTATCATTCCCCATCAATTCGGTTTCCGAGCGCAACACTCATGTCCCCAACAAGTTCACCGTATTGTGGAATATATCCTCAGCGGTTTTTATCCTCGTCGTCATAAGACCATCGCGGTCTTTTTCGACAAAGCTAAAGCCTTTGATAGAGTCTGGCATACAGGCCTTATCTACAAGCTGTATAAAATAGGTCTCCCCGATCGTCTAGTACGTCTCGTGGCCTCTTACTTAAAGCATCGTACCTTTCGTTTTAGACACGAAGGCACGCTATCTTCACAGCGCCCTATCAAAGCTGGTGTCCCTCAGGGCTCAGTACTTGCTCCTCTGCTGTACATCCTGTTCACCAACGACATTCCCATCCCGTCGAAAGGTGTTCAGCTCTCCCTCTTCGCAGACGACACTGCTATCTACTGCAAAGGTATCTGGCTACCTTTCATACGGAACAAGGTTCAAAAGTCAGTTGACGACCTAGGAGCTTGGTTCAAAAAATGGCGTATCGATATGAACCCGGAGAATAGCTCCGCCGTTCACTTCGATTATAAACGACGCCGTCTCAAAAACACTCCACCAATACGTATGCTAGGGACCCCTGTCCCCTGGCATATGACTGTCAAATATTTAGGTGTCACTCTAGACACAAGGCTCAATTTCAGGCCCCACGTCAAAAAAGTAACCCGTCACGCACGTTTTTACCTGAGTAGGCTCAACAGTATGTAGGGCCGACACAGTAAAATGTCCCTCAGAAACAAGCGAACCCTTTATAAGGTCTGTATACGACCAGTCATGTCCTACGCGGGCCCCTATTTTGCCCACGCCGACCCTAAAATTATTAATGGACTCCAAATAGTTCAAAACCTTTTCTGTCGTCGAGCTGCTAACGCACCTTGGTACGTCCGTAATGCCGACCTTCATCGGGACCTAGAGCTCCCTACAATTCAACAATTTCTCAAAAAACTCTCTGAGAACTTCTTCAAAGCCTCAGAGTCGCACTCCAATCATTTTATTCGTGAGGCAGCTACTTATGCAGCCCCCTCTCGCTATCGAGTCCGCAGGCCGAGAAACTCTCACTCGGACCCGCCTAATAAACTGTCAAACAACTTGAACTGCCTCCTGGCGGCTCAGGCCAACTCTAATTAAATTAAATTATTCATTCATAATTAATTTGCCTTCGTAGGCACTCCCTCAGCGGCTCGTAGCCGCCTGCGCCCTCTTTTCCCAAAAGAGGGTCGCTCCCGATACGGCATAAGAAAGCTTAATCAGCCAGTTGCCAGTCCCCAAAGGCGGTTTTTAGAGGGTAACACTTAGGTTCCCCCGGTAGGCAGTGAGTCCCTCATAACCACGATAGACCGGCTATCGTGGTTACCGGCCTTTTTCGAATCCCAGGATCAAACCTTTTTCTCCAAGGGAATTAACCAACTTAAAAAACGCTATTCAAGGTGTATTAGTTAAAAGGCGATTACGTTGAAAAATAAATACAATTAACATATACATATCCAAGAGTTTCATTGAATTTCCAAAAACTTATAGATTTTATAAATAATAAACCGGTATAATGTTATATTCTACTAAAGAGGCATTCACTTGTGGGGCTTTTTGTAACGTGCTGCCCATTTTGATTACATACTCATCTGTGTAAAATTAGGTCACAGAATCTATTTTGAATCAGATGAACTGTATGCTTATTTGCCAATAATACTCATGTCAAAATAAACGTCTTAGGGTGGATTCAACCAAATACTATTTTATACCAAAGTAACTCTTGAATAATTTTACTCTTTGGTCTTACTTTCAGATAACTTCGTTTGTGTTTTTTTCCCACGAACCTAGAGTAGTCAATAGGTACATGGTATTGTCACATGAGTAAAGAACTAAACTTTAGTAATTTCTTTCGCTTTTCGCGTTTAATTATCTAAAGTTAATTAAACGCGATAAAATCCGTAAAATTGTTTTATTCAATGCGTAGTGTTCGCGAAAATATGGTCACACGAAAACAGTTTTTAAAATGTAGCTGCCACCATAATCTGGTGTAACTGGTTTACTCCATGAATTTTGGCAGTATCACGATTTACTCTTGGATCAACAGTTACATATCTGTGTTAAGATTTGGTTAAACGAAAAGTTCTCTTATTTTAGTGTAATTAGTAATTTTACTCAAAGAATAAGACTTATACGTTTGGTGGAATCCGCCCTTACAAGGTTTGGTTATACAATAACATATTACACTTACAAAACAACTAAACTTTATGGATTACTCACTCATGTTTCTAATAAAAAAATTCCAATAAGTTTTAAAATCGCCTACAAAATTTGCAATCCTAAAAAGCCTATTATGGTGGAAAAATGAAACGGCAACATCCCGAGGATCGCGTGCCACATACACAACTTTAGCAGTATCGAGTATACGAGGTGGCAGCAGAGTCATGGGAAGGTGAGTTTTGATAAAACGTGGCGATGGTTTTTCGGCGATTACTTCAGAGACAGGCTTGCTCAAATAATCAATTATTTTTTTCCCCTCCTCGTTATCGGCATTTGCACTTTTAAGATCGCTTACTACATCTTTATTCATGAACATTGGAAATCTGTAATTGAACAAATAAACAGAAAACTGCTGTATATTGGCAGCGAAACAAAAATTATAATACTATCTTTCTCAAAACATCTAGTTTCTTAAAAATTTTATTTGGGAATAAGCCCTACGATATATCACTTATATCATTTATCGCAGGACTTATCCTCATTCATATCATGTCATATTTGACTGATTGATGATTTGACACTTCGTTGAGTATATACTGCTGAATATATATTAAGATTTCATAATCTATGCGTCTGCAGAGAATTGTCAGCGTAACTATCCTGTGTCAGCCTTATCCCTTAAGACCCCTGACCTTGTTGGAATGCGTTATTATATATCCCTATATATCATAACGCTTTGCAACAAGGCCCTAGTGTGAGGCTTTCAATATTTTTATTCACTGAATTTTGATACGACCGCCAATCCACCTGCTAAGTGTGGCGCTTATAACAAATCTTCTCCCTACTATATGATAGGCCCACGTCCAGCGATGAACTAATATGGATTGATCATGAAGAAAAATGTGCGGTTGTCAAAGTCGTTATACACTCATTTCTTGAGAGAGGTTAAGGGGATAGAGTAAGTCAGCTCAAATTCTAATTTCGTCCCCACTTGCCCGCGCGTCGTTTGCTATGTACCGACATATTTGTAATCACTAATACTGTAAGTAGAAAGGTCGTTAGACACTTATTTCATTAGGTTTATCATATTTATGCCTGTTTTTTAACGCCAAGCCAGTCGCTTCTTATTTTTATTACGGTTATTTCCCATTTTAATTTTACGTCGTCCTGTTGCGTAATGTATATTCTGATCGTAAGCGACACAACCTCCCCGTTCAAAGGCCGAAGCGAAGTGACCGTGCCTAAACCTAAGCCGAAATGCCGAAGCCTAAGCGATACTAACGGTGCGACAGGAACCACGCTTCAAGAGGCCGATAGTTTAGGTAATTTCTTTTTACAGTGAAAATAATGGTATTTAAAAAAAAGTAAATAACATAAGCACTGCTTTATAGTTAGTTCAGTTAGTATGCAAAGTTTCATGATCTTATTTAAAGTATTTTATGAATAATAGCGGTTTATTGTTTATTTCGGAAGTAAATTTGGATTTTTTTTCTATCGAGAAAATTTTACGAAATCGTGTTTTCGTCTAACATAATCCTTAAAATTAATCCTCAACTTTACCATATATTTATTTCAAAATTAATGCTGCAATATTTCGGCATAACGAAGGATCTTGCTAAGCCATTTAAGATTATATTTCCCCTTAATGCGCAAACGTAACACTCATCTGGGATCATCAACGTAACACTATCTTCTCCGCCCAGAAGAAGTGAAATTGCTCACGGCTAAGCAACTCCTTCGATTCATTGAAGACATAGGGCTCAGCAATGAACTATAGCCATAGCAGCGATCACAATAGATCTTTTAGGTAAGAAATAGGCATAAATATGATAAACCTAATGAAATAAGTGTCTAACGACCTTTCTACTTACAGTATTAGTGATTACAAACATGTCGGTACATAGCATACGACGCGCGGGCAAGTGGGGACGAAATTAGAATTTAAGCTGACTTACTCTATGCCCTTAAGGGTTCGCAATCGGTTAGGATGTGTAGAGGCGTTTCTTCCGTTATGAAACAGAACCGACACATCCTTGAGTTGCTTAGTCCCAGGATGGATATGTGCTTTTTAAGATAACAGTGTCCAGTTAGGGCTCTTGCCAGAATGCGCAATTTATTTTTACTTAATCCCAGGGCTTCTGAAGCGAATTTACGATCAAAGGCCCGGATTAAGGTTTTAGAATGTTTTAAGCCTGGTGTGTCAGACCAGATCTTAAGTGATTTATTGTGGTAAAGAGTTTCAAGGGTCAATCGGGCTAGGCTTCTTGAGATTTCACAAAATGGCTCTGGTCCAAATTGTGTGCACTTTGAGCCCTCCCGTGCAAGTTGGTCGGCAAATTCGTTGCCTACAATACCCTTGTGATCCGGAACCCATCTTAAAACGACCCTGTTGTTACAACCCAGGGCGTTTAAACGGTTCACGCAGTCTCCAACTTGCTTTGAGTTCACTAAGTCTTGTATGACCCTGGTAAATGGGTTGACGATAGTAACTCCAATGTTTCTGTTGCACTATTAGTGAAGATACCATCCGGCTTTTTAAGAAGCCCGATCTGATTAGGTTTAGCTTTCGATAGCATCTTGTGTAGTCTTACACTGCGAGGCAAAGACTCAACTTCTTCGCATAGCTTCCTCCACGATGCTCTCTTGGCTTTCCTGTTTTCTTTATTATATTCAGTTAGGGCTGCACTATAAATATCCCACATCTTTGGTTTTCTTAGCCCTATTAAACAGTTTCCTGGTCTTTTCCCTAAGGTCTTTCAGTCATCAGGTGGACTATGTGCTCATATTGTCTTCATTACTCTACAAAAAGAACATTAACAAGTTCTATTATAGCCGGGTATGTACCATTAAGTTTAAAATTTGGCTATTTTGATTTTTTGATGTAAGTCTAAGTTTTTAATGATTACTTAGGAAGACCGAGACTCTCCCAACACAAGTATCTTATGATTACTTTCTGGGAGGCCTCGGCAAACTAATTGTAAAAGATTTACTGAAATAAAACATTTTTATTTATTTTTAAATTATAAACGGCTCATGGAATGACATATGAATACACGGAGCGGTATGCGTTGGCGACTATTTCAAAAAGATGCGTTGACTATATTGCAATGTAGAAATACGTACTCTAAAAATGTATATCTTGACGTGAGAGTTTCGGCAGCTGCCTTTACGTAATCCAAATCATTTACTAAAAGCCATACCAATTCTTGTGTCCATGTCGTTCCTGAAAATATAAATTTCGAAATTTAAAAAGAAAATGCCTAATAAATGTGAGAAATAGTCTTTTTTTTTAACAAAATGGGATGAATCAAATTTAAATAAACCGGACAAGAACGAGCAGCACTCACGCCTTAAGGGTTCCTAATAAATTTAAGAATGTAGATGAGGGTTAACGAATGTCGTAAATTGACAAAGATAATATTTATTTATATACAAAACGTACATTTACCAGTGTAAGCATAAATACTGGCTTTCACCAAAAAAATAGACTGGACTGAAATTCATTAATTACAGACAAAAGGAAAAGCATCGAACATGCTGTAGTATATTAGAAAATGGAATTCGATTGAAAGGCAAACATAACTTTACAGTATAAAAAAAGAGCAGCGACTGTGATTTCGGCCCATTGATCGCCATTCTTTTAAGATAACCCAACGTCAGTTGCCGTTTACCTCTGTCACCTAATATTGAAGTAAAAACTTCTTGGTACATTGGACACTTTCGCAAACTGGAAAGGCAACTAAATAGAAGGAAAATCTATCGCGTTTTTGACTATATGGCGTACAGCCTATCTGGTACCTAGGTAGGCCGTACGCCATATTGTATAGTTGTGCGGATCGAAACTAAAATCTACTTAAGTACTTAGGCAAGTCTTAATGAAAGTGTATCCAAATATTAGTAGTCCAAAGTTATGAATCAACAATCCGGCTCGACTGTGCCAAAATAATGTGGTGAAGCGATGCGGTGCGGGTAGCCTATAGGTGGGTGAACAATTAGTGGACTGTATTATTTTATGCATAAAAAATAAAGAACAATAAATGAAACAGCTCAAGAGAAGGATGGATAAGCACCTTTAGAAGAGTGTGCCTCGTATCTCTTGACGACTGACACTGACATAATGAGATATAATGATTTCTTATATTTTAGTTAGTAGTTTTAATCATGTATAGCGAACACTATACATGATTAAAACTACTTTTATTTTTAATTCCCGACGTTTCGGGCGCTTTCCAGCACCCATGGTCAGGGGGACTACTCAGTCCGTGGTCACGGGGGACGAGTTCAGTCCCCCGTGACCATGGTAGTTAAGTTAATCATAATGAGATATGATGACACTAAATTTATTCACAATAGAACAGTTCTAATTTCTTCTCAATAACGTCACGTGCCCCAAAACAAACTTCTAATTATTAAATAATTTAATTGACGCGACGATGACAGCGTGCGTTCTATGCAATTTTCGCCATCTTTTTTTTTTAGCATGACGCACCGATGATTAGACGATCGGACTCTCGCCCAACAGCACCGATGAAGGAGGCAATCACCGATTGCCTCCTTCAAAGTTCAGGGTTTTCAAAAATTTTAAATTAGTCAGTTTTCCTCAGACTTACACCGACATTAGGCAAATGTGATTTACCATGCTTTAACAGGACATTATCATAGGCTACTTACAAGTACCAGTTTGACATCGTCTCCAAGAGCGGTGGTTCGAGGGAGGAGCAAGCATTCATGCTTTATGTGATAGATTCATGCTGTACTTATATTAGTAGTATAGTTGTATCACGAATGGGGTCGGCTCGATCGGGGAAGGATCACACTCTCACAGAATACCAGCGTAAAATAGCAGCCCATCGCTGCTGTGTTTCGTATGGTGAGTGTAGAGACTCTTTTTACGGGAAAAGAGGCATTCCAACTTAGTCATCACGGGTGACAACACATCTGCATTTTGATTCGTGATCAAGGATAGATATAGATGTCTATGGGCCACAGCAACCACTTTCCATCAGGTAGACAGTGTGCTCGTTTGTCACCCTTATCCTATAAAAAATGGCATTAGCTTTAGCATTACGATGTGCCCAGTTTATTCTAGAGCGACTACCTATAGAAGGTAGATCTTTGAGTGTTCTGATGGAAGCCCTGGAGACACGGAACTTCGATAAGCATATGGAGCACGCTTATGGAGCTCAGCTACAATATCGCTTTCAAGCACCTACAGAGACACCGCAAAAGTGGGCTGAGGAGAAAGAGAGGCTATTTCGTCGCGCCTGTATGTCAGCACCATCTGTTATTGAGGTGACTCTTCTTCAGGCTTTTTTACGCATTCGAAACGCAGAGGTGCAAACTCCTGTACGATTAGGCCATCATCAATCTCTAAAAAGCACTCTGGCACATACATTGGTGGTAGAAACTGTGCAAAGCGTCATGAAATCACACCCAGTAAGAAGATTGAAAACAGAAGAAAAGAAGCATCATTGCAATCCAACATGTTACGGGTGCAATGAAAAAGGGCACATCTGGCTTGACTGCCCAAAAAAAGAGGAAAAGGGTCTCAATCTCCAGACCCAAGCAGAGGCGGAGCAGTTAAACTAAATATCGCCAGAGCCGCGGGCCAGGCGCTGGCTGGGCAAACGATATCCACTACTATTACCTTTACACAAGCATGCAATAAGAATAATCTTATCATCGAAGGCACTTTAAATGGAAAAATCTGCAGATTTACAAATCACACAGGAGCATCGCACACGATCGTGAGACGGGAACTCTTGAAACGGACCATATCGTGGAAGCAACGATCTCCATATGTGCTACGAACGGCAACTGGCCAGTCTGTTGATTTGGGGATTGTTTACGTAAATATTAAAACGGGCCGTACATTCTTGGCCTGACCATACCTTCAATTACATTTTTCATTACTCAAGCTTACTAGTTATTCATAATTTGAATTCCAAGATCTCAGTACGCATGATGTCTTAAGTATCAGATGAATTAAGATTTTGGAAACCTACCTGCGTGAAATAATGACCTAAAATCCTTGTATGAAATCATATGAAACCTCGCACATTACAGCCGCACCGTACGCGCCGCAGTTTATAAAATGCGGTAGGTATCGATTGAAGGACGAATGCTGATGACGGCGCGTGCTGACCACTCACTGTTGTCTAATGTTGCCAACTTAGTGGATTTTCCACTCAAACTGGTTGTTTCGACTTTCGTTTCGAAATATACTTTTACTTCATTTCAGGAGCATTTTCCTTTACTGTGTAGGCAACGATGAGGCACAGGACTTTTTAAAACTTTTAATTAATACGTAATTATATAAAAATAATTTGAAAGAAAAATTGCATCGATTATCAATATGAATATTATTGATATTGATATGATATATTATTTTCTTACAATTTTATTTTCTTCTTCCTCTGCCAATAAGCAGGTAACATTTTTTCCATAGCGATCCGAGTGATCAATGTCACTGTACCGTTTCATATTAGTGCAGTGGTAGAAAAAAAACTGTAATACGTATATATGTGCGAGGCCATCCTTAAAATGCGGCGCGTACGGCGTGCATAGCGCCCACGGCGTGGTCATTTGTGTGCACACACACACACACACACACACACACTCACACACACACACACGCGCGCGCGCACGCGCGCACACACACACACTCTCTCTCTCTCTCACACACACACACACACACACACACACACACACACACACACACACACGCACACACACGCACACACGCACACATGCACACACGCGCGCACGCACGCACACTCGCACGCACGCACGCACAAGTAACATCTATGTACTTTATTACAAAACTTACTTGAAATTTACTTCTCTATCCAAGTATCTACTTACATACCTATACTTGTCTTTTGTTATTAAAATATTTTAATTATAATAACACGAAATACTGAAATTAAAACTTTGTTTACTAACAAGATTTTTAACTAAGTAGAATACAATCACATTTCTGTTAGGAATCGTATTTCAGGTTTATTTGTTGTTTACACTATCTAAAGTCTAGCCGCTCAGAGAATGCGATCCTGATAGGTCGAGACCGAACGGACGATGTAACTTTGAAGTAGCGTAGCATTTCCGATTAAAAAAATATATATTTTAATTCGTCATTCCAATTAGACCATTAGACTATTATGTAAAGTACATTTTCGTATGTAACTTTTGAAATGATTAAAATGTTAAATAATGAAGAAACCGATGTTATTTACAATGTTGAAGTTGCAAAGCCTGCGAAAAAGTCACAAGAGATGACTGGGCGAAGGTCGTCGAAAAAAATAAAAAAACTTATATTTGAAGATTTTGATATCGTTGTTAACGATATCGTTATGATAAAGATAACGTTATTTTTCTCCATAACTAGTCTTCCCAAAAAGACAGGTGTCGTGATTGCATTCTGTGAACGGCCAGACTTTTACCTATTTTTTCCGAGCGAAGCATCGCGGTTTCCGACGTATGGTCTTGCAAGTTGCGTGCGTAGGGCATCACAGAACTCGCGTAGTAGCGAAAATATGGTCAGTCGATCAAAGTCAGAATAGGTACTTAACTAAGTAACTTACCATTTCCCAATGTACTTTTTTACTCTTTGACAGCCCTTGGTAACCACGGAAAGTTCGCAGTGATGTAGGAACGGAAAAAGAAGCAAAGTAATATGGACATTCGCGCGCAGCGATAAATTTTTATTTAACACAGCCATTAAAATAATATTTAATAGTTTATAATTTTATAAAAATAGGTTATATAATAATAGTTTATAATTTTTATAATAGCTTATAATTACTAGACCGCAGCAATTAAACCGTGTGTGGTTTCTGCTGTAGGTCTAAAAAAATCACTTTGTGTATCAGTTTGTTTCTTATATTTTAAATAATAAAAATAATAAAAAACTACGGAAAGCAGTCAACATAAAAGGACTGCAACTTCAGTACTAAGTACTATTATTTAATCTGTGATATAGGTCATTGCTATTGTCTTACTATTGTGTAAACTGGATAGTGAAAGTGTTAAGATGGATCATACACCGCCACACACTCTATGAAGTACACTAAAGGAAGCAGATCCTAATAGATACCTGATCGAGCATAGCTAGCAACAAATATATCATCCGATCTCAGAGGCATATTGTAAATATTGGCAGCGTCTTTTTCATATTGTTTTAGCAACGTATAATTCTTTGGCCCGACAAAAACCCAATCATGGTAGCTTTTTCCTGTAAATCGTTAAGTCATTTAAATATTTGATTTCGTGCACAATAAAGAAAATGTCTAAAAATTGGTTTCTGATTGTCCCATCTGTGCATATTATTTCGCACTTTCTTTCATCGATTGTAGTTTTTAAATATAAACCTCTACAGAATTAAACTTTTAAAAAGTAACGTTTATGAAGTTATAAAATAATAGTCTTTTTTTTGTCCAGCCCGATAGTATTCTGCTGCACGAAAGACAATAAAACAGAAACTCAAATTATGTATATAAACTTTAGTAGTAATAATAGATTTCATGTAAAAATTATTATGGTCCGATTTAAACTCACCAATATAATATTTTCGCAATTCCTTATCTTTATTTTCGTCGGACCGGAATTCGAAAGGAAAATCGTTATGTGTTTCCATTTTTGCAATCAAAATTAATGTTTCAATTGTAGATGTTACCTCTATTGCTTTATTCTACTGAATGACTCCTCAGTTTCGATTTCGTTTCGATTAGATATAATACTTAATTTTATCAACAAATTAATTTAAGAATAACATGTAATTATTTAAAGCTTCATTTTTATCAAATTGATAACTGATAATAACTTACTTATTTTTTTACTCTGTTCTGAGTACTCGACTCGACTCTCTTACCTATTTCTACCGCTACGAACCAATGGAACTGCTACTGTGTATAGGGAAAGAGAACTACAAGTTGTAGCTTTTCCACTTGATGACGTCTAACCGGAGCATGTGTTTGGCGTCTAACCGGGGCATCATTAGGAGAAATAGACATTTCGATGGCTGATCGATAAATAATACCTCCGTCGTATTAATCATAACGATCTTACCGTCGTGTTATTGATGTGTCGTTTTTAGTGTAGGTAGTGGTGTCGGGGGTATTGGTGTTGGGACTAGTTGTGACGGCAACAGTATTTTAGGGCGGAAAGCGTTCTTTAAACTAGGTAGGACACATAATTTCAAATTGTCAATGTGAGCGCGATTAGAATGACTCTCCAGCACCTTAACAAGGGCAAGGTCCGTGGCGAAGATGAAATTACAGCGGAGCTTCTGAAAGCGGGTGGAAAACCGGTACTTAAAGTCCTTCAAAAGCTTTTTAATTGTCCTCCAAGGTGGTACTACTCCGGAGACGTGAAGCAGAAGTACGGTGGTCTTGTTATTCAAGAAAGGCGACACTGCTCTCTTGAAGAACTACAGACGTATTTCCCTTCTAAGCCACGTCTACGTGCTGTTTTCGGGAGTCATTACGAATTTTCTCGCACGCAGACTCGACGACTTCCAGCCTTCCGAACAAGTCGGATTCCGAAAGGCTTTAGTACCATAGACCTCATGCATTTCGGCAAATTGTACAGAACAGGCTTGGGCGGTGCTACAGTCCCTACAGCGGTGCCAAGTTGATTATCGGTATATCGGAGAGCTGAAGTGTTTGTACAGTAGGGCTACGATGGCTTGGAATTGGATGGAACTTATCACTAAGCTCGAAGTTGTTGACGAATATGTTACCTGGGACAAATTGTCTGACTAGGAAAGTCCAACTTCACTTATTTGTTTCGGCTTTCACGAGATTCTCGTCATACGGAATGGTAATGTCGACCAAAAATATCCTTAAGTGTGCCCGGTCCATCAGCACAATATCAGGCTTATTAGTAAGAATAGTCCTGTCTGTCGGTCCCAGTAGAACCTTGTGCGATCATTTTCAAGCACGGTTTTCGGCACGTATTTATAATAAAGCAGTTTCCGATCCAGAGGCTGGTTTTCAGAGCGAGCTCCTGGTATAAAATCCTGGCTACTAGGTTGTGCTGTAACGTTGCACGTACATGTATGCATAATTATAATTAAACGGTTTATTAAAATTGAATAAACATTTAATAAACTAAATAAAAATAAAATAAAAGTTATTAACAAAAATAATTCTATAATTAACTTAGGTATCCTATTAATAAAACAAATCAGTAAACTAAAAGAACGAATTAAATAATAAATCAAATATTAAAATATTGTATTTCGAACAAACACTCTGACGCTTCGTTACTCTATGCGCTTTGCAACTCTCGCGTCAGAGTTTTACCCGGCCGGTATCATTCCACGGCGTCGCGCTCCCGGTCATTCTCCGCCCGAGCGCCCTGGGAGGCGCACACTACCACTGCAGCCGCGTTCACAAGCTCTGCTTTGTGTCCTCGTACGCGCTTGCAAATTTTAATCCCATTTTGGAAAAAGTTTAAAATAATATAATAATTCCGGCACTGTGGCCGTATAGTTTTTTCGTTAATTCTCGTCACCGAGACCTCCGTATCGTCTTGCACCCCGTAAGGGTAAGTGTTGAAACGTTACCTAGTTTTAAGTAGTGAAAGTGTTTTATAGGTAGTGTAATTTGATCATGCCAGGCTGTTTGCTTTTAGCTATTTAATTGCCACGTTATTAGTGTTATTTGCATGTAAGTAATGTATGTAGCCGCTGTGCGCGTTGGCAAAAGTACCGTTACAAAACGGCGTCTCATACATTTCGCACCGCGATCAAATATCGCAATTCACCATCATGTTTCAACCAATGCACAGCCTAAATTAGTTATCCTGGTACATTTAAACAGTATTTTACACATGCCGAAATTTTAATTCATGTGTATTTTAATTTGCGCCTCACCGCTATGACGCTTGCCTTCCATTCCGCCTTGTAACTCCGTTCTGATTATGAACACCCGCCAGCTACTCTCTGTGCTCCCATCTACTGCTAGCCTGCGATATACCGAGGGTTCATAATCGGCGGCATTTTATTACCTGGACCTAAATGTGGACGACGTTGTTTCCAGGGTGCAATTTTACGACTACAACCGTGGCGGTCGTCCTTCTTAAGAGGGCCTAGGCCTCCCCTCGACGCCGCCACCGCCACAGCCAGCTGCCCACGGCGCTCCCCGTGAACAGTCCAACCCCCCGGCCCTGCTCGACCACCTCGCGGCCACATAGGGGAGTACCTGACCCTGCCAGTGAAGCCAGACGGGCATTTTTTTTTTAAATTATCGGAACCACGCCCACGACCTTTTCTTTTACCAATATATAATTTTTTTTTATGACTGGTTGTTGCCTTATTTTAAATACCCCCCGCCACACTGGCGCCCATAAACGTGGTAAAAAAGGTCTGGTTTCACTGCGTAGGAGTAGTTGGTGTTTGTGTCGTTTTGTGTTTGTGAAACGTTTTTGTTTTTTTGTTTTTTGGTTGCAGCAACTAATGTGTACGAATTTCATTATTGTGTTTGTTTTAGGAATTTTATTGAATTTCAATTGATTTATTTATTTACTTGTATTATTTGAGAGATCATAAACTTCAATCCCTAACTAAGAATTTGTTTAGTTTCGAATAACTTTTCGTAATCACTCTATGCCGTGCACTACCCTATGTTGTTTACGTTCTATCATTGTACAGAGTAGTTAGCGTGCAGAGTGGTCACTGTGTAATCTGTGATAGAGTAAATTTAATATTGTTCCGAGGTATTACTATTCTATTCTGCAGTAGGTTTTTTTTTCTCGTGGTTTTTTTTTCTGTGATATTATTATTACTGAAATTTTATGAATTGTAACTATTCCCTATTGTTGCTGCAGAACCCTAGTTCAGTTGAGTCACGCATGCGTTGGTAGTATTTTAAATTATTCAATCAATTGTTTTTTATTTTAATTCTTAGGCATATTATTATTATCTTGTTGTTGTTTTATTTAATTGTTCGAGTACACATTAGTTGCGTATTTTAATTTTTTGTTGCGCTGCTTCTTTTATTTTGGTGGCAGTTGCTTTATTCTTTTTACTGCTTCTTTTATACGCCAATCGTTTTAGTCAACCAGAACGTTCTTAGTACCTGATATTATAATTGTAACGGAACGGAGTAGATTAAGTCAGTAACGACTCAACACTTACCTCTTTGCGGTTATACGCGTGTTATAATGGCGCACTCGGTTAAATTCCTATCGTTGCAAAAGTCGGAGTTAGAATACGAAGTTGCCATTAGAGGTGCCACCCCGGCTGACACAGTCAGAGAGTTACGCGAGCAGATTGCTAAATTAGGTCCACTCTTCCTTTCGGAGGACATTCTCGAGAGCGTTTTGTCTGTCGGCGATGATTTAAAGGGAGTCAGCGATGCTTTAATTAAGCTAAGAGCATATATCGAGGCGCCTAGCGATGGGAATGCGTTGCTTCGTGCTCGCAACCTCATTAACCACCTCCATCATCGACTCAACCGTATAGTTTGTGATAGCACGACCCAGCAAGGGGTGGTGGATACGTGTGTTTCGGAATACAGGCAACTTTTGGAACGCTATAATGCTATTACTGCTACTGATTCCACCCCTTCTCTGGCATCTAGAGACCCTCAGTCTACTGCTGCTTTACCTCTCAACGTTAACGTAACTTGTGAGCGCGGCGTGGCTAGTGAGTTCACTAAGTTTAAGTTCGACGGCAAATCTTGCGTTCGTGCATTTATCCAGCGCATCAATGAATACAGCCAGTCGAGGAATATACCGGGGGAAAAACTGCTGTCTTACTGCGCTGAGATTTTTACCGGCGATGCCTTGCATTGGTATCGTGCCATTCGGGACCAGGTATCTAATTGGGACGAGTTAGTTTCCCTTCTTAGAGAAGATTTCGACCAGGCCGATTATGATTACAGACTCTTGTCGGAGATTCGGGCCAGAACTCAGGGCGAGTCTGAAAATATAACTATTTACATTTCTATTATGACTGGGCTATTCTCACGTTTGTCCAAGAGCCTGTCTAACGAAGACAAACTTGAGATCATTTTACATAACATCCGCCCATGCTACGCCAGCACCTTAGCTTCTGTCCCGAAGATCTCAGACCTCGACACCTTGCGTTCGCTCTGTCGTAATTACGAGAACATTCAGGCTCGCCTAGTGGGATTCCACGAACCTCCGAAGGTCTCTTCAGGAACACTGGCGCCAGAGTTTGCTTACGCTGGTCAGTCTGCAAGTAGGTTTAATCAAGGCAGCGGCCAAAGTTTCAATAAAAGACCTTACAATAACTTTTACAATAGAAGCAACAATAATTACAATACAGGTAATAAAACTTATTCTAAAAATAATAATTATGTGCATGCGGTGCAACAGCAGTACCAAAAGTCTCCTTATTGTCCTAGGTGTCGTAATAACACCCACAACCTTCGTCAATGCAAAGCAAATAGGGATAGAATATTTTGTTTTGTTTGTGGCCAGGAAGGCGTCAAGTCACCAGACTGTCCGAAGTGTGGCAAGGATAAACCGAGCACTTCAAAAAACTGATAGACCAGCAGAATTGTACTGAAGTCCTGCCACCCAAGTTTGACCAAGAGGATTGGCAGAGCTGGCTTAACACTGTTAATGTTTTCTTCAATTCTTATAAAGTTGATACAATTCTGCTGG